AACAGTCCAATTTTTTCAGAAAATAATTTTCCTGCATAATTCGGTACAAAAACGAATTCTAAATTCCTATTATACTTAGAGATTTTTAATTTAAGAGACATTTTGCCACTACTATCGATGGAAAAAATTTGATAAAATTTCTTTTCCCGAAACATTTAAAACAATGAACTTATCTGTTTGTTGCAACAAACCCTTAAATTCTGATTAACAATGTTTCATTGTGAGACGACTTATAACAATAATTGTAATAATTCAAACAAATTTATTCATTCATATGTCAATCTATGATAATTAAGTGGAGTAATTCTTATTAATAAATCAAACTACGGCTTTAATATTAGTTGTTGTATGTTAATGATTTTTTTAAGTAAAACTAAAATTTTTTCTTTAAGTTTTTGTAACTAAGTTTTGGAGCATAGTCAAAATATATTAATGAATGCGATAAATTATCATTATATGATAAGTATCATTCATTCCATTGGACTTTCCTTTAGTTAAAAAAACAATATTTAATTTAATCAGAAATAATGTAATATCGTTCTTTAATTATTTTTATTAAGCTTAATAATTCAGATGACAATTTAATCGGAAAACGCACTAAATTAATTTTTGATTCATTGATGGAATTGAATGTAAACTGCGATTGCTGTTTTTATTTATAAATATATCAAATAATTATTTAATTTTATGCATCACTTGACCTTTCTAACTTTAAAAAAAAACTTGCTCTAAGGTCTTTCGAACGAATTTAGACATTTATAGTCAATAGTTAATAGCCGAAATACAAAACTATAATTGTTGACTTGGACACTACTAATCTTGACCGTTTTTGTCAATGTCAATACTTTTTCAACGATAATTTTGTTGTTGAATAATAATATAAAAAACTTTAAATGATGCAAATGCATAGGCCATAATATGATCACGGTGTATGCAAATTTCTCTACGTTTACAAGTAAAACTTCTTAAAGTAATTCTTTAAGCCTTGAGATAGATAGTTAATCTATTGTTAAGCTCGTCCAAAAATTTATATTTCTGGAAAATATTGAATTAATAAAATTAGGAAGACATTTAAGCATAACGTATTTGACACACTAGAAATTTATAAAATTTGAGAAACATGTAAAAACCATTAGATATTTTAATATCGTGTTGAAATTATTTTGCGAATTTTTTGTTTAATTTAAACAATGAGATTTTTATTATTTACGTTTTGATTTCCAAAATTTTAAGTTGCTTAAATATCGACACTAAACCCATTCATTATTGACAATGTTATAACTACCTAAGGGATTAGGCGATACCTACGAAAATTGTAATAGTATTATTATTTAAAAATAAGTTAGTATGTATTAACAGAATGATAACTGGTAAATTATTTTATTGTTAATGTATAACTTCTTTTTTATGTTTTCAAGTACAAAAGAGTCTTGGGCAAATACTTAATTTCTTAAAAGTCAAAACTTATTCAATTTTAGAATTTCCGTTGTGATATTTGATTTCTAAAGAAAAAATTGTTTAGTTTACTTAACAATTTTTACACATTTTTATTTATAGGTTACAAATCAAACTTTAGAAAAAATAACCATTATTAAAAAAATTATATTTAACACATTATTTACACTCATAATCATTGAATTTATTTATGTAAATGATCGTCACTCTCTTAGATTATCTTTTTTATTTTTTATCAATGTAACCAGTTAGATTTGTTATTAAGTATTTACTTTTCACAAATCTGTAGTATTAGTAAATTTGATTTGTAGGAACTACAATAATTATGTGAAATATTGTAAATTTACGGAAAATGTTATATTTAAAAAAAATATTTTAATAAAAATACAAAAAATATAGCACGAGTAGCACTAAATGGTGTATTTAAGTCTCACGTATGATATATAATTTAAGTTAGTCAAAGTAAAAGTAAATATCTTATGAAATAATTGAAAAATAATTGCTTTTAGTTTCGATGCGAAGTTGAGAAAGTATTGGTTTTGTAACGGTGTGTTTTTTTTTTTTGACTATCTATAAAAATGTTCAACTCTCAGTGGACCTATTTTAATGATTAATGCGTCAAACCGGATCTTAACCTAGTTAAATTTATTGTCGTTAAAATAAAGAAAAAAATTTGAAATTTAGAAAAAAAATTAAAAATTACGCTACCGTTAAAAACGGCATTTTCAAAATTATTATGGATGTATTGTTTAAACTATACACTGTATAATTAAAATTATAAATTAAATATAGATAATACTTTAAATATTATTTTTATTTACTTGTAATAAGCAATCATAAACATTAGTTTTTTATAATCATTGTTTAATTATTGTCATTTAAAAAATATGTGTAATAATAATAATAAATGTGAGAAGTTAAATAAAAATATTACAAAATCAAGATCTAAATTTAAAATTATCATTTTTATTGAAAGACAATATAGAAGTAGACTAAATTTGATCAAAAATGACTTGTTCAACTCTTTACGCTAAATAAAATAAAACAAATATTTTTTCTAGTGTAGTTACATTATCTAATAATTTTAGTTTGTTTTTCTCAATTCTTCAGTAAAATCTGTAATTAAACACATAGACCATAAAGTTAAGCATACATTTTTAACGTGATACATTTGCAAGTTATAATTTAATAAAAGATATTATTTTGATTTATGATTTACAGGTTTGTAATAAATTAAAAATTATCATTTTTTTTTTTTGTTCTTTTGTCGTTTCTTACTTATGGTTTCACTGAAAGTCATTTACATTCATTTTGTAAGAATCAAGTCTTTATAGATATATGATTTTAGTATTTTGAGAAATTCATCAACGAATATCATTAAAATAATACATTATAGAGCTAAGACTAGTTATGTTTGATTGTTTTCAACGTGACACGTTTCTATGTCAACAATAATTTTTTTTTAGTTATAATAATTATTTATTGTAGTTGATAAATTGAATACAATATTTACATAGTACTAGCACAAGATTTAGAAATAAATGGATTATATATATAAATATAAACTTATTTTAAGTTGTTCTGAATTGTGTAAAAATTTTGTTATGAAACATTCCGTAAACATCTTTTGTTTGTGCCCTGGGTTTCGAAAATAATATTATACTTGTGACTCAGAGGATAAGAAGCGAGGGATAGAGTTAAATAAAGGTATAAATATTTATATAAATATATATATACATATAAATAAATAAATATAAGTATATATATAAATTGAAATATTAGATCATTGTTTCTCAACAAATAAATAAATAATAGAAAAGTATAGACAATAAAATGAGTTTCATAGTAACAAAACTGTGATCAATTACATGGCTTACTACAGAAAAATATTAGAAACTCACATATTCAAATATTTATAATAATAAACAAATGATTTAAAAGCGATCATAAATTTAATTCCACAATTATGTAATGATTTAAATTTTTAATTGGTTAGAAAAATTGTATTTTATTATGCACATAGACAAACCATATTAGAGAATAAATGAATAATTTATCAACGAATATACATATAATATATGTGTTTTATAAACATATTATCTTTTACAGGGCTAACTGAAGGACAAAACTATGGATATACTTGCCTAGGGCCCCGAGTTTAAAAGAGTCTCACAAGCGTAGATAAAATGTAAAAAAAGCCTTTTTTTTTATTAAAAAATTACATTTTTGTATTGGGACCCCTTATATCAAGCGCCAGTACTGATGTTTTAAATAATATAAATAAATGTCAATATCAATCGCATAGAATGAACATAAATAGTTAAGCATATGTGCGGCTAAAAATTCTATTAAATAAACCGTGTGACAACTAATATAAATAATTTTATTACCTTTACAAAATACTGATTGAACAGTACTAAATAACATTTGTTAAAACAATACATCAAACTTTACATATAATAACTTGTAAAAACTTATGATTTACTTTTACAAGTAAACCAAATACAACAAATAAGAACTTAACAAAAACTTTAAAACATAAATTTTTCTACAATAATCAATAAACATCTGTACTGTTTATTTTTTTTAAACAAGTCTGCCCGGCTGCTTCGGCTATCGTACCACATGGTTTGATAAGCGGCTATTATATCCAACGATAGAGAGGAAAAAGAGTGAAGATGTATAGTATAGATTACGCGGCATATATTAATTTATAAAAGTCATGTACATAATTTATAGTTTGTTTATCAATTAATACATTTGGTGACATAATTATCGTAATGAGATTTCTATTCTTTAAAATTTATTCATAGTTGTAAATTGGGGGTCTTGGAGGGGCTTAGCCCATCAATAATTTTTGAACCACAAAATGTATAATTGTATAAAAATATATTTGAGTGACGGAGAAGTTAGATATAAAGCTCGTTTAAAAATTTTTTTGAAATTGTTCCTATGAATTTATTAAAAATAGAGTTCATTCAATAAATTATTTATAATTATTATTTATAGTAAGTTTTGTTTTATTTTAATTTAAATTTCTATTTTTACTTGGACTAGCAAAAAATAGTCATGGATGCAAATACCAAAAACAACTCAATCTATCTAATTATTCAAAGTTAGATTGGTTTGTTTTCAATAAATTATTTCATTATGAGTAAAATATATTAGTTAATAATATTACTAATAATTGGAAAGCTAAAAATGAGTAACGTAGATCATTTTAAATTCATTAAACTAATGCATCTAAAACTCATTTTATATTTCTCTTGAACAACTACTAAAATTACATAATGAAGTGCAAGATTAAGTTACTTAATATATGTATTGAAAGATTTGTGAGTATAAACCACATAACACACAATCTTATTATACTTAAAAGATAGAACACAACTTGTTTTTATTTGATAAAGTATTACACATGGCAATAACAAATATATCTTTCAAAAAACACGAGTTTTGAGCCTAAACCTGAATAATTAACGGAAATCTTTCAGTTCAAAATTTGTTCAATGTATTATTCTATATTTTTTTTATCATCAATGGTATTGAGTAACAGATGAATTCGATTCTATGTTATTTTTCTTTTAGCCTTCGTATGTTTGCTTATGATAAAGTTGATTGGTTTGTAGTATTTTTTATATTTTTATTTGACATCAGAAGAAAGTAAAAATAAGAAATTTCGTAACATTGATGATGGTGAAATTGGATTGAAGTCGCCGGCAGGTACATACACATGTCTTCATAAGAAGAATAACATTTGTTTTGTCATAATTGTGCATTTGTCACGGAGGATGCATTACCTTGATGTATCGTATTCTATTATATATTCATTGTTTTAGTCAATAAATTAATAAAATTTATACCGGGCTTAATTAACGATAAAAATATATTATGAAATTGATAGGTATTAAAAAATGTTAAGTAGTAAAATTTCAGACACGACGCCCCTGACCCTTTGGTAATTAACAAATTAGATAACTGGTTACTTTTAATAGACGAAGACCTCTGTCCTTTTGGTTAAGGCTTTTGAAAGTAATGTAGAAATTTATTTTTCAAGAGCACGCTAGTAATTAGGGTGCTCATAGTACCAATTAGTGGTACTTTGAGTTTTTATCTTATGTTCCACTTTGATTTATTGTTCATAGTAATTTAATAATAATTTAATTTCAACTTTTTTTTTTTTAATATTTAAAATATTAATAAAGTTATTTTATAAAGCAGTAGCATTGTTTTTACAATAATCCTAATAGGATTAAACTATTTGATATGTATATCTCCTGAAAAATATTAAAAATTTCTTATACCTCTTTTTCTCTTGCCCCCACATGAGTGTACTTTTTTTTCTATAATTTTATTTACTTTTACGGCCCACGAATAAAAGAATTTAATTCATTGTTAATTTTTAACTTGTTTGTTTCACAATAAGTGGTAATATTATTGAAAAATAATACTAATAAAATAGATTCATTGAATGGTAGCTCACTAAAACAAATTTTGTCCCTTCATATTAAATTTAAAATATAATTTTAACTAATATAAATTTCTCTTCAAAACCTAACAATATCTAATGACAAAAACAGTTTTTTTTTTGTAAAAATTGCATAAATCATAAAAACACATAAACAAAATTAACAAATCAGTATATTTTTAATTTTATTTATTTAACCAAAAATATTATTAATGACTAAATGAACCATGTTCGGAAAACAATCCAATAACTAAGGTGTATAAAATAACAAATACGTAGGTAAAAAGTATACCAAAAATTAAAATAGAATTAAAAAAAATTAAATATTACAAAAAAATTCATTTTGAATCATGTATAGAATTAGATTTGGCATATTCACAATTAAAATAATTTAAATTCACAAAACAAATAAGTTTAAGAAAGAATAAAAATATAGTTAAATTATATACGTGCACAATCATAAGCAGTTACATTCATTAAAAATATGCGCATGGACTTATAGAAAAATGTCGCAGAACAGTAATAAATTAACGGATTGAATTTGTGATTCTTTGTATCTCAGAATTGTCTCTGGGCGGGTCTATTAAAAATTTCAAAGCTTAAGTCACAAAACGCCAATGTCAGCAAGCGTTTTTCTCGAAAGCAGTCGAAATTTTAAAACATTCGCGAATGAGTGGCAAACTCTTTTCGGTCCTGCCAATAATATTCCCGGAGTCACGTGACTGAGTACTCTTCTGTTAAAAAATCGGAGCACGTCAAGTTGTTTTCCCAAAAAATCGTATTTTCCTTGTTATGTTACATTTATAGAGTGTTCGGTAGGTAAGGAAACGGGTTTCTATTGTTGTCATTGTTTGTAACAATTTACCTGTTTCCTCACTTACTAAACACCCTGATAATAAGATTTCTTTTAAAATTATCATAAAGAAAATAAGGAATGATAAAAAAATAGCACTGGTTGATACAATTTCGAATATTACATTAGTGAATAATTTTGATGTGTTGGAAAATGCTAAGATTTCTCGTTTTTCGCAGATTACGTCATTATGTCAAAATGGAAAACACAAACAATGGAAAATGGATATTCATGCTGCCGGCGTTTAATTAAGGTAAAGTCACCTTTTGTACGAAACGCATTTCGAGTGTATCATTTCTATTAGGCATTTCTATACGCGTTTTGTTACGTGACTTAAAATGCGCGAAAACACCTTCACATGTCCCGTCACAATACAGGGTGCTTACAGGGGAGGGGCAGGGGTGTTTGGAAGGGTTTAACAATTATACTATAGTTGGTTCGTTCGCGAGCATTTATACTCGAGGTAGGTGTACTTTGCAATATGAGAGAGAGATAAAGGGAAGCTCTAACAATTTATATTTTGATTATAATTCAACGGAGTTTCGTGCTGAGAATCATTTCCCGAGCCGGTCGAGACTAAAACGTGATTTACAGTCGAGCTAAAAACTTAATAAAGTTATGCTTAACGTGTGTTGCTAATGACACACGTGAGACGCCACCGCTTCGCGCGTATAATAACATCGTATGAATGTCTGGCAACGGCATTAATCACATCCATAACGAGTCGGTAAAACTTGTCGCAACAGCCGACAAGTCTTTTTGTTGCACAGACAGACAACCACTAGGTTACTATAGGAACGATTTTTTTTTTTTTTTTTATAGAAGCAATAATTGGTAGTCTTGGTTAAAAAAGTCCATGTTTCGTTTGGGCAAACGCTGTCGCTGTTCCGAGTTCTATGGTAATTTGTCAAAATTTTAACTGCTTAAACTTCGTGTACATCCTTCATTATAATGTATGTATACTTCTTGTGCTACCGAAGAAGATTCTGAAAGTTATTTCCGTTATTAACTTTTATGAACCACACAAACAATTATAATTGGATTAAATGTTAAACTTTAAGGAAACGTTGCCAAGCGCCTAATAACGCATTTTCTTGAGCGCATCTACCCTTTTTGTTCAACATTGATTGGCAAACCATCCATAGCAATGTTTTTTTAATGAAATCGCCTAGATGGATGAAAATGAACAACTCGAACGATATGTCGTTAACGTGCACTACTCGGTCTTAACGAATAAAATAAATTATCGATAGTTAGGCTTCTTAATAATTTATGAAAAATGTTAATGGTTCTTTTATTCCTTTGCGTTCGGCGCTCGTGGTAATTACTTGTTGTAAAACGTTTAGTAAAAACATAGCGTTGAAAGGCGGTCAACACTTTGTTGAGAAATGGGATTAAATAAAATTACTTAAGGTGAAAATTAAATTATGAATGCATTTTAATAAATCTTCCTACATCTAAACGAACACGGTTGAGAACAAAAACGTTAACAAATTTATTTTAACGGTTTATGTGTTCCGATGAATTAATTTTTTTATATTAATACAAATTATAAAATATCAAAAATAATAAAAATATAAATTTTGGTCGGCTGTGCCCATATAGCTTGTATTAAACATTTTATGAATATTTGTAATAAAAATCGTTACGTCTATTAATTATAAACTCTTAGAGATAAGTTTGTTAAGCCTCTCGCAATAGACTTATGGACGGGTGGCTATCTATGAATAGTTATACAATGGGAAAACAATCCAAGTTCCCAGTACAGAAGGCATTCGACCTTCTGGTTAATTTGATCCAGCATCTGAAACGGATTAGGATCACAAGAGAAAAAGAAATAAATCATTTTATTCGTTGAATTTTTAATTATTTAATTATTAGTATTTTGAATTTTGTTCATTATAGTATGGACACAAGACTTCCTATGAATTTTTATTTATAATAAAATTTGTTGATAAACACCACTTTTATTATACCAGAGACAACAATTATTAAAACTTAAAAAAAGTATTTTTATTAACATTCAACTTTATGCCGCGTTGAAAATTCCAATGTATAAAGTTATTAAATATTTTCAATTGTGATTTTATTGAAAGGATGATTTTTTTTTACGCAGTAATTTTCGTGTAGTAAATTTAATACAAAGAAATACCTTTTCCAAAAAAGTTCTTATTTCATTTGATTTCAAAAACTTTTACACTTGGGTAGTACTTTATTGGATATTTTAGTTTTATTAAGCAACATTCAATCAGTTGCCCTTAAAAATTTAATTAAAAATAATTTGTTGTTTTGAGGATTATACGGATGAACAGAGTGCAAAATAAACACAAAGGTCCGTCGTGCATTAGGAAATACTGTAGCGGCGCTTCACATATCAATGGAAGTGCTGCGTAGATGTTGCGCAGTTCCAGTTTACGTAATTCGAATACTTTAAGGGTTCCTAAATTTGTTATGCTTTGTATAAAATGTTGTTATTTTTCTATATTAGTAGTATTTCAATAATTTTCTACGAAACGCAAATCGCAAGTCGATTTTAGGCTGACAAAAAAAAAAAATTTAACTCTCAACGAGACTTCAATGGTTCGTTTGTCTTTCTTTTTAACGCGGGGCAACGGATATTATCATTGTGCTCATATGACAACGCGGTTGTCGCCGTCAGTTTGTATTGTTTTATTACGCCCATCAACCTTGAAACCTATTCGCATGAGCTAACACTTTCACAAAGAATTATTATTTTTTATCCAAACGAAACTCAGGCGCGCATTACGGTCGCGTCTCCGTTTGCCATCGCCAACTCACCTTGTACAATTTAGCCGAACAGTAACAGCGATAATAATAGTACCTACCGCCAATAATTCTATGCGAACGGACACTTTTTTAACTGACCGGTAGACTATTATAAATGGTGGACTGCGTAAGCAATCGTTGCGTTCCGAAAAAAGAAGCGTAACAAGCCGGTCAAATGTCAGTCGAGTAAAAGAGACGATCGAAAAACTAGTTCGAGGACGACCACGTTAATAGAATACATTATTATTATTATTATTATAGATTATTGCTGACTACAAAGATATTCTATTTAATTCGTGATTCACCTTCGGTATCTTCAATAGAGAGGTTTTAGTGGTATAATAATAATTTGGCTGTCGGTTTTCTCAGAATGTTCGTTGCCATAGAAAACGCTTACTCTCGCGATTCTCTATTGAGGATATGTCACATGGAATCCTATATATATGTGTATGTATTCATTGCTACCATAGATTTTAAACGCATTGGTAAGCGGCAGATAGGAGTGAAGAAGCGACTGTAAAACTCGATTGCGTGTCAAAACTGTCATTCTATACATTTGTAATAAGTTACAAGGGTAGCAAATCGATATTTCCAAATATGATCACAAGCTCTCCTGGCTGTTGTTAGCAGACTAAATCCTCGAAATCTCTACTTTGTGCGAACATTTTAGAGGATCCCTACTCCAAAATGTGAACAGAGCACTGTATAATTGACGTAAATAACCTTCAATGACAAGAGAAATCACTTTTACGCCAACTAACAAAACTAAGGGCCCTATGCGATAAAATTTCCATGGCGAACAATAAGATCGTAAAACACAAAGAAAGTAAAAAATAAATTCAAACCAAGGTCGCGACGTATTCAGTCGATCGCTGTAATGTCAGTATTGCACACATTCCCTAGAAGTTATTTAAATAGACAATTTAGCGCACAGCTAAGAGTTTTGGATTGTACGCGATATGAATATTACAATTTCGTGACTTTGATTTTAATTTAATTTCGGTCGGCTATCTTATGTAACCTTAAGGCAATATTATTCAAACCCACTAAGACTAATCATGCCCTGTGACTTCAACGCATCTGCAACTTAAGTCCCCGAGGCCTACAACACCCAATTAAGAAAACTGTGGTTGTGGCATCAGTTAGGGATTCAACAGCTTAATGGGAAACCTGAGAGCTTTATATTGGACCGGAATCTTTCCTTGTGGAATAACCAAATGCACCGAAGGTAGTTTTCTAATTGTCTTGTTTATCCTATTTTCTCTTGTATTTAAATACGCTGTTAGCTTGTGAATACATGAAAACCATTGGTATACAAATTTTGAAGGAGGACACATAACTAAGTTTTAAGATATTGACATGATACCCGGAGATAATGTAAGTATCATTGTGTTCTGTTTAATCATTTAATTTATGTCTATAATTCCAAATTCGAAGAGCAGATTCGTTATAGTGAAATTAAAAAGGAAAATAATAAGACATGGAAAATTATAGTGTTTAATGATGACGATTTTCGTCATTGTTTTTGCGAATTTAATAAAAATTTCAAAATAAATGGAAACTAATTTGGAAATGGATCATTGCAATTTTTAACAGAAATCTCTTGCTTTGTTTAAGCTTAAAAATCCAATGTGCGCATACTTGAACAATTCTTTATTTTTTAATTTTAAGTACGGTCCTACTCTATTTTTTCCTTCTATTTATTAATAATGTAACCATTATATATATATATATATATATATATAATAAAGTTATAAATTTTATGTTTGAAATAACACTTTAATATCATCCTTAAATTTGAAAAAATATCTTTCTCTTACACAATTTTGGCTTATTCTCTCGAATGTAATCAATTTTCATATCACACGTTTTATTAACTAGTAATTTTTCGAGAGAGTTTAAAATTTTCAATTTATATAATTTTGAAAAATTATATAAATTACCATACAACATCAACTGTTGTTAATTGACGTTATTATTTTTAATTATTTTCCTGTATTTAACGTTGGTGAAAACTGTAAAAAGCAAACAATGGCCGATTTTTAAATGAACATTAATGAACTTTATTATTTATATCGTTTATTGAATATTTTTTTTTTCTCTTTCAGTTATTTTTATCTATTTTTTTCTTATTGACGTACGCATATGTTAGTTTATCAAAAACGAGCAAAAAGATCATTAAAAATTATTATTTTAATGAGAAGTAATTCTTCATGTTTATTTGTAGTCCAGCTATATTAGATTGAACGTGTAAGTTGAAACAAATCAATTGTTATAAAATGTATTTATTTTATCAATCCTACTGATTCAAAATCTAACAAATACAATAGTTTATTGTTTTTGCCTTTTGAATAATTATTAATTCATTCAAAAATCAACATTCATTAAGTACTGTTTCCTAAAAAATGATATTCATTTTAAGGGCCGGCAGCAAAACAATACAGTATCCAAGGGCTTTATTACTTAAAAGAATGTAAGCAGTAACGTTCTTGGGATATTATCTTAGGGAATGTACATTAGTAAATTTTTACTACTCCCACTTACTCCACTACTCCATATTTATATTCATTGTGGGGGTTCTACCCTCCATACCCATACCATACAATTCTATGTTTATTTTATTAAACAAATTTTGTTAAAAATAAAAATTTCCATTATAATAACTTTATGAATTTGTGTAATTTTAACACTCTGCTGTAAATATAATTAAAATCGACACTCCATTAGTTCTAGATGAAAATCTATATGTAATTGTTTAAATTAACTATGCATTTTTTGCGTGTAGTCGTTGGTACTTAATAATAATAATATTTGCTTCATTATTATTTTCATAAAATTAGAAAAATATATTTTATAACTTCAAAAATAATTTATCAACTTAGTAGAAAAAAAGTATTTCTATTAGAAATTTGCTCAAGTATTATATGTGTTCCTGTGTTTAAACATTTTTCTGTAAATAATTTTTTGGCGTTTTTACAAAAAGATAAAATTTTAGTTTATATAATAAAAATAATAGAATAAAACGATAGAAATATAATTTTTGTTGTTTTGGTAGTTAAAAAAAAATTGTTTTGTTTTAAATAATCATGAATAAATATCTAAGTTAAAAATAAAATCTTTTAAATTTCAAGTCAAAATATCTTTATTACGGGTGTTTTTATCATAGTTGCAACTAGAATAAATGTGTTGAGCAGAGTAAAATATTTTTACTGCCTACTGTAAAAATGGTCTTATAAATGAACAGATGTATTTTTCAAATTTTTTCCAGGCTATCCTTATTCGTTCGTCCGCTTTTACCTAATAGTTGATGCTGGTCGACCATTGTGTTTTTAGATATCTTAAATTTTACTATTCCTGGGAACTTAAAATTTTTAGTTAATTATTTTTTTGTTTATCCATCATAGCTATGAAGACTTAAGTTCCCCGGAACAAAAGTTTTAAATCTAATGATGACAATAAATTAATTTACATAATATAGTGAAATACACAGTTGTGTTTTTTTTAATAAAAATATTTCCAAGAATGAAACGATTATGTAAAAAAAGAAAATCCTTAATAATTCCCAATTCTTATATTTGGCCCGGAGAATAAGCAATGTTTAAAAATGAATGTTTTTCTAAAAGAAAAAAAACCAAAAACAAGTAAAATACTTTTTTTACGTTGTCACTGACGTCTTTTTACTCCTACACATTTTATTTATTATAGTTGTGAAATATAATTCAACGCAAAATTGTTGTCGAGGGAGCTTACTTTATTTTCAGTGTGTGTATGGGAATAGGAGGACAGCAATGATGTTACATACTCCGTTGAAAATCGCCTTGACTGGTAGGCAATTACTTACGCGCTCGTGCATGTTGCGTGATCATATAATTGTATGGCGTTCGCATAAGTTTGCGAATGCACATTTTATTGGTAGAGAAGAAACATTGTTGTACACCGACACGCGTTATGTGAGAACCTTTACGCCGGCAATTCAAGTGCATTATTTTAAATAACATTTAAGGAAAAAACAGTTGAATGATTTTTTTGTGATTCGCGTAAATTACTTCAAAATTAAATTTATAACACTCAATGTCAGAATTTAATCACTAGAAATTTCATCAAGATCCTTTTCAGATGTTTCATTAAAACACTACTTAATGGAAGATAAATTAATTAAATATTTAATAAAATAGTTTGAATTACTCAAGTCAAAAAGTATGAAATATTTTGTTGAGCAAGAGAAATAATAATTTCATGTATTTCAGATTTTATCTTTTTTAAAAAAATGTGCTCCAAATCAAAACTTATTTAAATCGCTTTCCATTGTCTATTTGTTTGCATCAACAAGGCGAAAATTAGTTTTACATAAATTTCATTGTAGTCTTTTAGAACTCTCGTTCATAACGTAATTTCTCTGAAAACGAGCATTTGTAGAAAGAATATTAATGTATAGTAACAAAAACCGATTTTACCTGTTTCATTGTCAAAAGTTTTATTAAAACTTGTACACTACAAATACACTTTAATAATTTTCTATAGTTAATAAAGCTATCCCGAGTAATATTAAGTATATTAATTCATACCACAAAATACAATATAGTGTATGATGTTTTAATTGTTTAACACTTTGTATATAACCGAGTGTAATTATTCATGTAAAAAAATAGGTTTTTTTGTTTTGAGTTATTCAATGTATGCATTTATTTTCCTTAAACTAACAACAATATTTAGAAAATCTCTTGTGTTATTATAATTTTTAGTATTAACGTAAATATAACTTTCATAATAATAACTTAACATAAAATATAATCGATAGTTATTTGATGTTTTATTTATATAGTTTGAATATGATGCAAATATAAATATAGGTAACATATTATTTATTTAAAAGTAGTATGAAAAATAAATGTATTTTGGTTTTACATAATAGTTACATGATTTATAAATTTAAATACGAAACTAATAAGGCTTTAATCTTACTGAAATTTAGAACCTCATCTTTCCAATATTTGTACTTTGTTCAATTAAATCAAAAATTTCAATTTTCGTGGTACTGTTTTATAATTACAATATATTAGGATTTTTTTAGAATGTATTTGAAAAAAACATGAATTTTTGTCGACTTAAATATTTTCAATTCATGGGTTTTATCAAAATATTAATTAAAGCATTTATAGAGTATGTAGGTGTGTAGATAAGTGTAGCTTGTAATGGTATGATATGAACAGACTTCTTTATGGTTTTTTTAAGTTCCAAATTAATTATGTTTCACTAAATTATTTATCTTGATATTAGTTCGCATAATTATTATTATTAATTTTTCTTTATCTATTTAACATCGGTTGCTTCGCCACTAGTTAAAGTAAGTATTTATATAATTATTATTAAACAAAAACTGTAATTATTTGTTAAAATCAACTTAAACGTATATTTTTTTAACACATATTTCAGTAATAATCCTACTAAAAATATTTTCACAATATCCCAAAGAAAATGGTGTAAAATATTCGTAGTTGTAGATTTTTTGGTGATTTAATTATTTGAAAAAAATATTAAAATATACACAATACTTTAATGGTATATAGTCACCCCTGTAATAAAATATAACATGTATACAGAAAAATCATTATGAACTGTTCGTCAAGGTATAAATATCAGTTATTGGGGGATGAGGGTTAGTATAGAATTATACAATGAAACTAGGCAGGAAGTTTTTTGTTTTCGTCCCCAATGGATTTCATCGCTTTCACTTAAATGACTATGTTGATATTATTAACGAATACCATTCCATACTTTTTGCATGCTAACCAAAGTCAGGAAAACGGCAAAGATAAGCAATCGTATCAACAAAGTTTTTCTCTGTCATGAGTTTTCTTCGTGTTAACCAAAAATTTATTTCTATTTCTCTTTTTGTCATACAGTAAGATGAGCACAACGTATCGTTGCTAACATTTCAGCAGGCGCAGTGTAGTGAAAATTGTTGTAAATTTCACTACAGTGCGCCTGTTGAAATGTTAAAAATGATACGTTGAGCTCATCTTACTGTATGACAAAAAGAGAAATGGAAATAAATTTTTGTATTTATCTGTAAAATTCATGTTCAAATTTGATTAATCTTATAGTGGCTTGTATTTGTATTTTTCAACAATACTGTAGAAAAATTCCTATTGATTTTTAGTGATATTTGTATAGGTTTTCTTCGTCTTAGTATAATATGTTCCGAATGTTAATTATAACAATGCTCACCTATTCGTGTTTTAATGTTTATTTTAGCTAATATGTAGTTTAATAGAACTTCAGCGTAATTTATAATTTTTCAGCTAATAGTTCAATTAAGAAATTATTATATTTTTAATTTTCTTTTAATATTTCCTAACGAGCATTTATTAAATTCATGCGAAAAAAAATATGTTTGGATAAAATGTTTTTATTTTATATGTTTCAAAAGTTGTATTTTTTTATTTATTTTTTGTTAAATAAACTAAATTAAATTTAGCTATTTATAACAGTATGTATGTTTTTCAAATGTATTAAAAATAAAAATATGACATTTTTAAGGTTGTTTCAAATTGTTGTACAATTCACAACACGCGCTCGCTTATGTTTTATTAATGTGCTCGCATACTAAAAGGTTAAGCTCATTTTAATTTAAATACTACATCCAAAATTTAACTCTGATGAGGAAATATAGACGTAAGTGAATTTTTCATCTATAAATTCATGAAGATTTCCAGAGAGAATAATGTTATCGTACATGCGTTGAATTGCAATATTTTTTCAAAATCATATGATAAAACTTTAATTAAAAAAAAAAGTAATAAACTTTTTGCAGTATTTTCTAGTACCAACTTCATCTATTTAAATATTAATACTTACTGACATAACTGTTTTTTATATTATATTTTATTATTAGTATTTATAAAGGATACATACATTTATTTTTGTTAGATGTAACACATAACAACTATACCTGTAACAAACATTTATTCTAGATTATAATTAATGATTATTGTTATCTATAGTTCATTAACAACACACTGTTAACAACAGAACGATTTTTCCATTATTATAAGAATTCAAAAAATTCGGTCAATTACAGTAAAAATCGTTTAAAATTATAAAACAATGATAGCATTTTATATTCATTTAAAAGTTAGTCTGATGTAAAGAAATTATTTTTCACAATTCATCCGTGTGTATTATACGGTTATTAGCATTCTGGTGGTGTCATCCACTTTAAATACGACCGAATAATGAATAAATGAACAAACAAAAAGTTCATTCCAGAGAGATTTAAATGATCTAATGCTAACCGTCTACCGGCTACGGTTATGTTTTACGTATTGATGCAAAAATAATTATTGCTCGAAATACTTTTCAAAGTACTACCCCAAAGGGTTATTACAATTACAATTTATTGTTTCAGATGTATGACTTGCAATACCGTCTGATGAACTTATTATCATTGAACTATAAACTAATAACACGCAGAATGATAAGTATAATCACGACCGGCCTGCTGTTACATTTTTGTACCAAAAAATCGTTCATTATGCCATAGCTACATCATTTTGTCTGTGTGACCCTATCAGATATGAACAATACAATACATAACATGATATATACATTTATACATTCTTTTATCATCACTAGTACAACAACTGCAGGTAGTAAGTATGTGGTAGTCAAAATAGATGTGAAAAAATGAATACAAAGACCACGATGAATGGTATTTTTTGAATACACGCATCCATCCGCTGGTTACAGATCGTTATCTCAGTTAATCTGATAACCCAATGAGGATGTGAGATATGTGTAGAGTATAATAAGCATATACCAAAATATGTTCATGTGTTATATGAGCAGCTTTTTACAATGCAAGGACAAAATCGACACATGTGTATACATTATTTTTTTAAAGATATGCACTTTCTATTAAGCATATGAATTCACATTATATTATATACATAATTATAATTAGTATACATAATAAACCACATGGACAATTTTTTTTAAAGATATGACTTAAATAAAATTATTAAATGTAGTTAAAAGCCCATGATGATGTTTTGAAACTTTATTTATTGCAATTTATTTAATAAAATAATTGCTACTTATAAAAACGAGGAATAAAAGAAGAATATTTAATTAACTTTTTTTTTTATTTAGTATCGTATTAAATTTTAGTTGTTTTTTTATAGTTCCGTATTTTGTTTTTAGTTGAGGAACTAAATAATGTTAACTAGTGTGGTAGATAACCGGCTTTGTGAAAAAAAGGACAAGTAAAAAACAAAATTATTGTAATAAAAATTAATGATCAACTTGTGGCCAATATTATAAAAAAATTTATTAAAAATATTAATTTTGAAATAAAAATATAGTAAGTTTTCTGTCACATTTACATTTAATAAAAATGCATGACTTAAATAAATTATGTAATTTTTTTATTATAAATAATTTGTCACAAAGAGTAACGTATAATTAGTAAATATTAGACAGCTAGCGACTCCAAAAGAATGAAACAATCATCATCAGCCACAAAAAACATTATCATTGAATGTTTTTTTAGGTTTATTTTAACTGATCTAAAATTATACATAAGATCCGTACTATTATCTGAAAATTAATGATAAATTGAAAAGAGAATAGAAATAATTTAAAAATTAGCTGAACATTAATTGACATACTTAATTGATAGAACTTAAGATTGCTCGCAGTTATTTAATCTATCCTTTTTATGTAATTTTTGATTTTAAATTTGACTAACTAATAATATCGTATCAGTTAAAATCGTAATATAATTGAAGATTTATTTATATAGCTTTGAGTTGAAATATTGTCGTGTTCAATAATTGCTTTATTAAATTTTTTTCTTCAATTTTCATTGAGGGATCTAAGTAAAAGTAATTTGGATTTTAATAAATATAGTTAATAAATGATATTTCCAGTTAATTTTAAAATAACCTAAAATTTTTGCGATTAAGTTTAAATATTGTGTAAATATAATGCATCAAATATTGCATTTTTCAATAAATATGCTTTTAGCAATTAGATATTCTTTAAAAAGAGGTAAAATACTTTTAGAATTCATTTTTGTCTATCAAAAATAATAAGGTCTACATATGGTAAAAAACTATCATAACTAAAGGGTGAATTTGTATGAATTTATACATTTTGTTTCAGCTATTTTAAAAGGCTTAAGTTTATGAAAATTTAATATTAGTGTATACAGTAACGTAAAAATATTTTTCGTTTAAGTGAGAATAAACCTGCCATTTTCGCCAACATTTTTACCCCAGTTAGATCACATTATCAAATTTTCAGCTCAGTTATCTACTCAGGTTTATGGTCGTCGCTGTATGTTCAATGCCTAAGCCGCCGTTAAGTGGTTTTTATCAGAAACTAAAAACGCTAGTAGTAAAAAGCCCGACAGTAACACGTAAAACATACATTTTTTAATAATTTCGAAATTATACATAAAAATTGATGAAAATTAGTTAGAATATAATTTAAATTGAAAATATGTAAAAAATATGTACATAAGTATAAAAGTCTTGTATTTAAGATGATATCATTTATTTATTTCTACCAATAAAATATTAAGAATTAATATTTGAAATCGTATATATTATTTTAAACTGTTTGTAATAGATTTTAAAACAATTTTTTTTTAAATTGTTGTTTTATAAATGATATATTTTTATTTGGTTGTTATATAATCATAAAAGTCCTATTTTTTTTTTTATAAAATACATATTATAAACATGCTATACATGTATTATACCTCTTAAAAGTAAAATATAGCATTTTTACATTACTAAATATAATAAGTAGAAAAATTCATTTATTGTTCCATAATAGGTAATATGAAATAACACGGTTTTAACTCTATTAACTTTATAAATTTACCGTAACATTAACTAAATTATAACAAAAATGATTAACTATAATAGATGATAATTTTTTGTATGTATATTTGGTTAACTTAGTAAACGATAAACTTAGTTATATAATACAAATTAAATTAACATTCATTCAATCCTTTTTTTAATGTTAACATTGTATAGCATTTTTTTTTATTTACCAATAGGCGAAAATTTAGTATAATTTTTAGAGGTATAGAAAATTTAAGTTTATTTAGCAGAAAGTCTTATACAGGGTGTTCACTAAGTCAGGAAACGGGTTTCTATTGTTCTCATTGTTTGTAACAATGAGAACAATAGAAACCCGTTTCCTGATTTACTGAACACCCTGTATATCATTATAATAAAAATAAATATGAGCATTATAATGTTCATATAGGTGTTCAGTAAGTAAGGAAACGGGTTTCTATTGTTCTCATTGTTTGTAACAATTTACCTGTTTCCTTACTTACTGAACACTTTGTAGAGCCTCAAAGCAAGTTACAATTAAATTGATCCTTTTTGAGTATGTATTTTATGAAATGTAAATAATGATTGACATATAATCATTCTAAATTTTATTAATATTCAAAAAAAAAATATATTTTCATACAAGAAATAATATAATAATATTAACTTACTGAGATAGTTGCTCAAATTTTTTTTTTAATTTATCCATTAACTTCTTAAAATCCTCTTCGTCGACCTACCGATAATAATTAAAATTTATTATAATTATGTATATTATCTGTTTAAATATAATTTAATTTATAAAACAAATATTTTTCGAAAAAAATAATGTAAGCCCATGAAAATAATTTGTTATGTTTGTACAGTTTTACCTGACGTGGTACTTCCGTTTTATCCTTTTCCTCGGCAATTGTTTGTTTTTTAATATCATTTAGCTTGTTCGTAGATATACCCTCTTCACGTATCTTAATTTTAACAGTAAATACAATAAAATTATAAAACAAAACAAAAAATATCACCTTTGCAATTCAAATGAAAGCCGTTAACTTACTAAAATTATAATCAAAATTGCTATTAACAAAATGCAATAACAAAACCAAGTTATTAAAAAAACTATCATACTGACAAGTGCGTAAAAAATCTATTTATATGATTATTATTCGTTTTAATTTTTATGTGAATACCGTTCTTTTTAAATTTTCAGCTGGTAATCTTTTTTAATAGTTTTCTAAAACATGAAACTATTATCTGTTAATTTTTGTTTCAGTTTTTTTAATGAATATTTTTGTTTGTATATTACCATAGATACATATTTATTTTCCTTGTAATGAATTTTATACAGTTTAATCATCACCTGTTTCTCATTTTTAACTTATATTATTTTGATAAAATATAAAATCTTAAAACTAGACATACCAATGTAAGCATTTGACTTTTTTAATATCAATGTTGATATATCTAGCATTAATGACAAAATCAGTACGAATTTTGTATTTAGATGCATTTCTGATGACCTTTATTATAACAATGACTTATTAGAGTAAAATTTAAAATTCTTCTTTATTATGTACATTTTAACTAGGTTGTTATTCGCAAATTTTCTCACATTAGGAAATATTATAAAATTTATATACTACAATAATGTAACTAGATTATTGTAATGATGTGGTCTAACCCCTTCAACTATACTCTTAGGTATACCCCTGGAAATAATGTAAAAAGAAAACACTAAGAATCTTAAAATTGTAAAAAATATATATTTTGTACTGTCACAATATGTTCCTTACGAGTATTGCCAATAAACATGTATTCATTTTTGTCTCATTTGTGTGCAGTGAAAAATAATTAAATACGTGTCTGAAGCAAATTTGTTATTCCTCGTTGTATATTTTAAGTATAAAACCCATTAAGTCAAAGTTTTGAGGAACTCATAGTTTTAGTATTATCCATTGGTATTTATAAATGTAACTAGTTGTGATGATATTTATTTTGTTTTCTAGTATCATTAGTTACAACTTGAACATCATTAAATCATACCATCAGTGACAATCAACATCGTTTAAATGGAAACTTAAGTGTAACAAATTTGTATTCAAAATGATCGTTGAAGACGTCTGTTTAATTACGATACCGGTCGTATCATTTAGGCATTTAAAAAGTCACATGATTTACTAGTTAAAAGTACAAAAGTAAGATTCAGTGAATAAACTTTGGGCGTAATTAGTGTCACAGTCTTATATATTGGTTGTACAAGAAAATCTCACGTCATTTGGAAATTTCCATTTCATATTAGAAACACATTAGATATAAACTCTATAGATTAGACTTCTCAAAAACGGATCGATGAGCTCTATTTAATACGTATCTGAAGTGGCTTAAATTCTTTACAATTTAAATACAGAAAGTGTTGCCCATCTTATTTCTGTTGTGTGTTTTTCCTGTACAGTTTGTGACTGTAAACCTAACATACTCTTAAGCTTTGATATAAAAACAGTACTCGTTTTACTATAATGGTTTTTTGAAAAATAATATATATATTTTTGAATAGCAAAGAAGAAACATTAAATTATACTTTTTTGTTTACTATGATTTTATTAATTCAAAAAGTTAATTGTGTAAAAAATAAACAATTTTTTAGTTAATAATTGTGTAATACGGGTGAATTTTTTTTTTTCACACGGTCGATATAATGTTGGACGTCCTGGAACTACTTGTAGGTATTGCTTCAGGGTGACCAACGTCGCGAGAAAACTCACACTACCATGTTGTGACGCAGCCCGAAATTAATCAAGAGCTGAGACACTACATGACGTGGCCTCCTCGGTTAACCGGATCCCAAAGTGGGATCCATTGCCCAGGCCGCACCATGTGGAGATGGGGATAGGACTGCTATGGGTTAGTTTAAAAAAACATACAAACAAACAGACACAAAACTCTGAAAAACGAAAGGATCTGGTTCTCAGGCTTTTACTGTTTTGCTAGGTCAGTCCTTTGCCAGGTGTCCCGTTCCTTTGTACGCGAAGCATTCCCCAGATCGGTCTGGCACCTTACAGGCACCCTGAACATGCCGTCGCTCCAGACATTTAAAGCAACGCGGCCCCTGCATTTGTCGTGTATTCGCTTGATAACGACACCTGGTGGGTTACTCGCCACCAACCGCTGGCACTGGGGCATCCGAATCCCCTGATGCAGTA